TCTTGGTTATCTTTATAGACATAATTTTGGATGCAAAGCGATAAAAAAAATCTGAATTTATTAGTTGAGTAAAAAGGCTATGTCAAATCTAATACGTAGTCGATATTTTTGCAATCTGAAATGAAACGCCAAAAATATTCATTAAAATGGACAGCTGAACAAAGAAGAATTATACGACTAATAATATCAATCCCATCTTCATTTTCAAATTAAAATTTTGCAATTAAAATTACTGCTCCATTTCTTAAGCTGCTAAAAATCAATTTGTTTAATCTTCTGACTAAGCGGTGGCCCTTTTTGTATTTTCTTGTTGTTTTTATCTTTCTTTTTAAAAAAACTATCCTTATATTATGTTTTTTGCTATTGGTTTAGCATGTTTATGCTATCATTATCTATTTATTTATCTATTTTTTTATGGCTATGGCGTTAAAAACCGAAAAATCACCATATTTAGTAAAACAGGAATATCAAACGCCACGCATGCGCAGTCAACTTCTCCTCTCGGGTGAATTCGACTAAGGAAACTTCAAAGCGCCGTAGCAATGCAACAAGGTACAAAAAATAGGTAAAAATGAAAGAAAATATTCTGCTAAGCATTATAATTGTATTCAAACAACTTAAGTCTTGCTTTGTCAAGACTTAAAAAAATGAAAAATGTATTAGACACTGTTCTTTTCTCGTAGATAGCTAAATTGCTCGTTTTTGCATATCTATAAGAAAATTTCCATAGATAACAAGTGTTTCATGGTCTCGACTAAGAAAATTTTTTTTTTTTTTTATGTTTTTGTTCTCACGCGTCTGATTTGTTCAATGTTGTTAATTTTTTTTTTAATGTTGAACAAATTTTCATCTAAACTGTTCTCCAAGTGGGTGATTAATAGCTTTTTTTGTTTGTCCTAGAAATTGCTTTGACACCGAAACATCTCATTAAACCTGACGGAACAACTGCGCCATAGATAAAATCAAGTTTGCCTTTGTCAAGGTAAGATAATCTTAGGATAATTCAGAAAAGGTACTCATACATGTAAAATTATAGCTCACTGAAGTCGTTTTTACCAGTTTTGCAGTTTAAATTTGCTTAGTTTGTGAAAGGTTATGTAGTGATAAGAATTTTTTTTTAAAAACAGAACATAATGCTCATGCTGTTTACTAATAGAGATTGCATAATATACAAGATTCGTTCCAGGGATTAATCCAAAATCAAGCGAGTATTGTCTCACAAAGCAGTTGCAAGCCATCTTATATTTCTTAAAGATTATGATTAATTGTGCTTAATATATTGGAGAAAAAGTCTATTAATGTTTTTTGGGTCATTTTTTTCACTTTTGCTAAGGTACACGCTCAAAAATCAAACATGTTTAAGTTTAATTTGCAATTTTAATGCACCTTTTCAACCCAACAGTTTGATCTGTCATTCCATTCCATCGGCTCCTCTAAAAATAGAAGATTTGAACACGTCTCCTTTACCAGCCGGAAAGGACAACATGAGTAGTGATCAATTTTCAATTTTCTTTTTTCACAATTTACTAGACGTATCGATTTCACACGCCATTAACGCTATTAATATTGGTAACAGCTGTGTGACAAGCTAGGCGATAAGTAGTAGTTCAGATAGTGATGTGTCAGTGATGAAATCGATAATCAATCAATTATAAATCGATTATTAATCGATTGTAAATC